GATGTTTCTTGGCCTGTTGTCTTTAAGTTTTTTATTTTCCTTGTTTTTTTTTTTTTTTTTTTTTTTGGCTTGTTTTATTGTGGTAAATATACACCCCACAAAATGTACTGTTCTGACCGCACAACGGTTCTAGAGAGCCAAGGGCACTGCTGCCCTCAAGTTCTTTCTTCTCTTCACCCACACATGTAAGTCCCCTTTCTGGTTCCTCTCTCTTCCCTTCTTCTCTTCACTTTCTAGGTGGTGGCCCTGAAGTGCTTCCTCTGGGAGGTTCTTCTCTTGGGCAGGCAGGTCCACCTTCCACCCAAACCAAGCCTCACTGTGTGCCACTGCCACCTTGTGGTCGATTCTCATGTGGGTTAGTGTCCCAATTTCTAGAAATGTCACCTCTCAATCATTCTTGCAGGCAGATTGGCCTTGTTGCTGTCAGGGAGGAGACCAAAGAGGAGGCAGTCAAAGCCCAACAACCAGCTGCTTCCACAATTCGGATGGAAAAGACAGGAAGATTTGAGGTGGTAGGGCACACCTATAACAAACCCAGCCCTCAGGAAGCTGATGCAAGAGCATCACAAGTTCAAGGCCAGCCTATGCTGTGGTAGTGAGATCCTTTCTCAAAAGAACAAAGGAGGGGCTGGATAAATGGCTCTGTGGTTAAGAACACTGGCTGTTCTTTCAGAGGACCTGAGTTCAATTCCCAACACCCACATAGCAGCTCACAACTGTAACTCCAGTTCCAAATCTGCCATCATCATACAGACATGCATGCAGGCAAAACACAATACATAAAGAATAAAGATAAATGTGTTTAAAAAAAAAAAAAACGGGCAGTGGTGGCGCATGCCTTTAATCCCAGCACTAGGGAGGCAGAGGCGGGTGGATCTCTTTAAGTTCGAGCCAGCCTGGTCTACAAGAGCTAGGTCCAGAACAGGCTCCAAAACTACAGAGAAACCCTGTCTCGAAAAACCAAAAAAGAAAAAGAAAAAAAAAAAACAATAAAGGATTTGACAGATGGCTCGGTGGTAAAAAAACTTACTTCTTACAGAGGACCCTAGGTCAGTTCCCATCACCCAGGATGGGTGGCTCCTAACCACCTATAACTCCAGCTCCAGGATAATCTGACACCTCTGGCTTCCTCAGGCACCTGCACCTACATGTGTATATACACACAGAGACATAAACATAAAGCAAAATAATAAAAAGCTTAAGTAAATAAATAGTTGGATAAGATATACACCTCCAGTGTATACCTGAAGATCTGAGTTCAACCCCCAGAATCCATGTTAATATGAAAGGAGACTGGTCAAAGCTGTCTCTGACTTCCACACGCATGCTGTCATGTGCAGCTCCCCACGTGTGCATGTGCATATACATACAATAATAAAGACGGAAGTGAAAAGGAGAGGAAAAGGCAACCTGGAAGCTTTGGATAAGAGCTAAAAGCAAGGTTGGAAGCCAGGCGCTTTAATCCCAGCACTTGGGAGACAGGCAGGTCGATCTCTGAGTTCAAACCCAGCCTGATCTACAGAGCAAGTTCCAGGACAGCCAGGGCTACCCAGAGAAACCATGCACTGAGCCCCCAGTCCCCGCAAAGATAGCAAAGCTGGAGATGGTTCAGCAGTTCAGAGCACCAAGTTCAGTTCCCAGCACCCGCACGTGGCTGACATCATCTACAACTCCATGCCATCTTTTAGCCTTCTTTGGGTAAACACACACATATTAAAATAATTCTTTTTATATAACTTTTTAATTTTTTGTTTTACTGGTGCTTTGCCTGTATGTATGTCTGTGAGGATGTTGGATCCTGGAGTTACAGATAGCTGTGAGCTTCCATGTGGGTGCTGGGAATTGAACCCGGTTCCTCTGGGAGAGCTGTCAGGGCTCTTAACCGTTGAGACATTTCTCCAGCCCCCAACTTTTTAATTTTTGAGATTATGATATAATCACATCATTTCCCCTTTTGTCCCTCTAACTCCTTCCACGTACTGTCTATAAAAATAAATCTTCAACAATGAATGAAGAACTAGGTACTGCTGGGAGAGACTCATGGGTGCAGTGGGGTCCATCCCTTCTGCTTTAGAAATATAAAGGAGAGAAACTGGCAATTTTATGCCTCCTTGTTGCGTTTTGCACCCCACCCCCCCACCCCCCCACCCCCCGTCTGTGCTCTATGCACTAGAATCCAGTTTGCGAGCTTTGTTTGGGCAAGGGGCTGGAGGTTGAGGAAATGTGCAGAGACAGACCAACACACGGACCTCCAATCGCTGGTTCAAAAGCCCTTCTTTAATAGCACCATGGAGGCCAACAGGTGAAAATCCCATCCTCTGATCCTCTAGGCAAAGCACAGCTTTTAGTTTCTTCAATTAGATGGCTCTAGCAGGGAAGAGCAGCTGAAGGCCAGGACTCAATTAGTCCTAACACCTCCTTACTGGATTGCAACGTCCATCCTGTACGGGTCTAACACACACCTTCAGGAAACAAGCATGGTCAGGATAGGACAACGTCTTTGCTGCCATCTTGAAATTCTCAATGACCCCAGCCAGGATCAAACAGTGCTACAACACTGCCTCCACCTCCCATATGTGTATATATATATTTGTATGTATGAAATTTTGAAAGACTGTCTTTCAATTGCCGGGTATGGTAGTTCGCATCTATAATCCCAGTACTCAGCATACTGAGTCAGGAAGATAGCAAATCTCAGGCTACTGTGGGCCACACAGTGAGTTCCTTGCTACAAAGTTAGTCCCTGTCTCAAAACAAAGGAAAACAAATTGCCACGCATGCATACACTGCTTGTATACCTCTTTTAAAAGACTGTTTTATGTGCATGACTATTTTACCTTTATGTGCCTATGTGCACCATGTGTATACCTGAGCATAACCTCTCAGGAGTTACAGGTGGTTGTGAGCCACCATCTGGGTGCTAGGAACTGAACCCAGTTTCTCTACAAGAGCAGCAAGTGCTCTTAACTTCTGAGCCTACTGACAGATCTCTCTAATAGCCCTGGCTGTCCTGGAACTCACTATGTAGACCAGGTAGGCCTCAAACTCACAGACATTTCTCTGCCTCTGCCTCCTGAGTGCTGGGATCAAAGGCTTGCGCCACCGCAGCTGGCTGTTTGGGGAGATTTGAGAAAAGATATTACTACGTAGCCCAGACTGCCTGAGCTCACAACCTTCCTATTCCATCTTCCTGAATGTTGGAATGACAGGCATGTCTGAAAACACAGGAAAAACACTTTTTTCTAAAACTCAGGACAGAACTCAAGGCCTTGCCCATGAGAAGCAAAACCTCCTCTGCCTCTTGTTTACATCCCTACTTGTTTTAGTTAGTTTGTTGTTGTTTTGTTTGAGACTTTGCCTTAGACAGCCCAGGCTGGCCTTGAACTCTTGATCCTATTGCCATCCAGAGTTCAATGAAGGGATTGTATGTCTATGCTACCATGCTTGGCTTTCTGAGTTTACTTTCTTTTTATTTTAATTATGTGTATTTGTGTATCTGTGTATGTACATATGGGTTCAAGTAGGTACAGGTATCCTCAGAAGCCCAAAGAGGAGAGAAGAGGGTGTTTGATCCCCTAGAGCTAGAGTTGTAGGCAGTTATGAGATGCCCGATGTGGGTGCTGGCAATGGAACTCAGGTTCTCTGCAAGAGCACGTTATGTTCTTGGCCGCTTTTAACCACTGAGACCCTTGTTTTTTTCTTAACACAGAGTCTCACTAAGTAACCAAGGCTAGCTTTGATCTTATAATTCTCTTGCCAGGACCTTCTGAGAGCTCCGATTACAGGTATATGGGACTGTACATCTTTTTTAAAAAGACTTTTTAAATGTATATTAGTGTTTTGTCTGCATGTATGTATGTGCACCATGTGCAGTGCATGCCTGGTGCCCAGTGAGGTAAAAGAAGACATCAGATTTCCTGGAAATGAAGTTATGGGCCGTTGTGAGCCACCATTTAGGTACTGGGACTCAAACCCAAGTCATCTACAAGAGCAGCAAGTGCTCTTAACTGCTGAGCCATTGCTTTAGCCCCTAAGATTAAAAAAAAAAAATTTATGCTTAGCTGGGCATGGTGGAAGGAACAAAGGAAGGAACGAAGGAACAAAGGAAGGGAAGAAAGAAAGAAAGAAAGAAAGAAAGAAAGAAAGAAAGAAAGAAAGAAAGAAAGGAAGGAAGAAAAGCTGTCCACGAAGTTCAGTGACAGCGGATATGTTCAAGGAATGTTGCAGGACTTGATCCTTTGATGAATCTTGTATAGACAGTGTGTAGGAATAGCAGCTTAGTGGGCACCATGTGGGAGAGTGTTGATTTTATAATGTCAGAAAACACTGTAACAGATTGGGCGGTGGTGGCACATTGCCTTTAATCCCAGTGCTTGGGAGACAGAGGCAGGCAGGTCTCTGTGAGTTCAAGGCCAGCCTGGTCTGCAGGAGCTAATTCCAGGACAAGCCCCAAAGCTACAGAGAAACCCTGTCTCCAAAAACAAAAACAAAAAACAAAACACTGTAACAAATAAAAATAATGGCTGTCTAACAGAAAACTCCAGGCTCCTTCTCTAACGAACCTGCTTTTTTATGACATAAAAATTGAGCCACTTACATTTTGATATTAAACTTGTAATTAATTAAGTCAGGCATGGTAATGAGTGCCCATAATCCTAGCATTGAGAAGGTAAAAGCAGGAGGACTGGAAATTCAAGGCCATCCTCCCCCAGCTGAGGGAAGCCTGGGCTAAGTGATACCCTGTCTCAAAAAAAAAAAAAAAAAAAATTCAAAAAAACGAAACCTCTGAGATGTAGCTCATTGTCAAGCCTGACCCCACCGCTTAAATTTGGTCACCTCCCACAAGTTGTCCTCAAACAAACAAACAAAAACCCAAAAACCTTTTAATTTACTAAACATTAGCAATAGTTTTGCTTGTTTGTTTTAAAGGATAAGACATCCAGGTGTGGTGGCAGAGGAAGGTGGATCTCTGTGAGTTAGGGGCCAGGCTTGTCTACAAAGTGAGTTTTGGTACTGCCAGGGCTATGTAGACCTTATCTCAGAAAAAAGAAAGAAGGGAGGGAGAGAGGGAGGGAGGGAGGGAGGGAGGGAGGGAGGGAGGGAGGAAGGAAGGAAGGAAGGAAGGAAGGAAGGAAGGAAGGAAGGAAGGAAGGAAGGAAGGAAGGAAAAACAGACATCTCTAGCTTCCCATAAGGCCCTATCACATTCTGACTCTGAAAGCTAACCGGTCCTGCCTGGTTTTGAGTCTTGCATAAGACACACAATGTATGCCCTTCCCTGCCTGGCCTCTCACTCACCATGTTCCTTCTGACTCAGGAACAATATTACACATGACTGTATCTTGTTCATTTTGCTACTGACACCCCATTGCCTGAATAGTGGTTTTTGTGGCTCATTTTCCTGAGTGGTATATTTCCTGATAGTGGGTATTTGAGCAGTTTCCAGTGAGGGACTGTTGTGGATAGCACTGCTTGGCCCTGGAACACATCCTTGGTGTGAATGGGGAGAAAGAATTGGAACCACGTTTTCCAGACAGTTTCCCCACAGATGTCTCTGATGCCACCTGCTGGACAGGAGCCATATGACATATCCAGGGTGGCCTTCAAAAGAGTCCTCTCAAGAACTCGCAGCACAAGACTGGACCATGACCCTACCTGGAAGCCACACCCCTGACAATATAACCTGGTTGGTGTTGCTAAGCCACCACCCAAACCACCCTTGAATCCTAGTTCTAAACACGATCACAGTCCCTAGAGATCTAGGTAAGTTAGAGATCTCAAAGGTTAAGAGGGGACTCTTCCCACTACACCCCATGGTCTATGGCTATAGTATTGGGCTCATCCTAGACTTGGATAAACTGTGACCCTGTGTGGCAGTTGTTTGGGGAACCTTTAGGAGAACCTGATGTCCTAATGAGGCAGGCTCATTGCAGCCTCCCCGGCCCAGCCCCGCCCTGCCCAGACCTGTTCTCTCTTTCACCACCTCCCTTTCCCAAGGCCACCCAGCCACAATCACAGCCTGCTTGCCTCCCTCCCTGGCAGTCTCCACTGTCAGGGTTCTCGGCAGGGACCTGAAGCAGCCCAGGCTATGGAGGCCACAACAGGGCCTGTGCTCTACCACAAGCTGCAGCTCTGGGAGCCTGGCACGGAGTCGGAGGAGGAGGAAGAGGAAGAAATAGCAGAGCCACTGGTCCTCTCCCTAAGGAGATCCCAAAATACCCCCCGGTGAGTCACCAAGGGGCCTGGGAACCCCATAACTCAGGCTGGAAGGCTGGCAAGCTCCTCTCTCTGGAGCCCCTAAGCTGGGTCAGGCAACCCCACAGTGGCTGAGCTCCAGGGACTTTCTAGATGAGTGGGGAAAAGGGACTCTAGGCGGCAGACCCAACTTGGGATTGAGCCAGTCAATCAAAGGTCTATGTATCTGAAGGGACACTTGTACCAAGCCAGTCCCTATCCTGTTTCAGCTTTGCCGGCCTCACCCTACCCCCATGCCACAGCACCAGCTAGGCAGGTTGGGACCTGGCTACATCTGGCTGAGCCCTGCTGCTTGGCCTCCTCTCTCCTGTATGCCAAGCCCCTTCCAGGCCTCCCTCTGACTGACTGGCCTCTGCCTCTACCAACTCTTCTGTAGATACTCTCTCGAAGCCAGCCTCAGTTTCTCCAGATTTTTCCTACCTCTGTGTCTTCGCAGTGCCCCGGACCTGGAATTTTCTCCCTCTCTCTGTCTCTGCCTCTCTCTGTTTCTGTCTCTCTCTCTCTCTCCTTAGCCAGTTTATACTCTTGAAAAAATCAAACCTTTTGGGAAGCATTCCTTGGGTCCTCTCAGGGTCTCCCTCTCTCTGTCTCTGCCTCTCTCTGTTTCTGTCTCTCTCTCTCTCTCCTTAGCCAGTTTATACTCTTGAAAAAATCAAACCTTTTGGGAAGCATTCCTTGGGTCCTCTCAGGGTTCTTGGGTGCCCTCCACTCTATCCCTGGCTCAGGACTCCCCTTTCTGCAGGAACAAGGTTGGTGGGCTGCCAGGAGCCTGGGCCCGCCTGCTGGCAAGTCTGCTTCTGCTAGCTGTTAGCAGCTCCCTGGCTCTGAGGCAGCTGCACAGTAGGGACAGTCCAAAAGAAAACTTGGGCTCTGTGGCCCCTCCAGCCAGCAGACACTCCCATCACCCTGGTGTGTACCACCATGGAGCCATTATCAGCCCTGCAGGTCAGTGCTGGGGAAGGGGCTAGGGGGTCAATGGTCCAGGCCACCTGCCCATCACCCATAGACCTTTCCTTACTGCAGCCACGTGTTCTCAGCTGGGCCAAGAGCTGCTTGTCGCTGGGGGGAATGTCGTGGATGCTGGAGTTGGAGCAGCTTTGTGTCTGGCGGTGGTACATCCTCATGCAACAGGGCTAGGTCAGTGTGATCGGTGGGCCCGGGACAGAGACTCCAACCTGGGACCTAGTCAGTGGCCATTACCTCAAGACTAGCTAGTGAGAAGAACACAAGATCTGAGCACCAACCCTACTCTTGGGTAACCTTTGACCCCCCAACCTGGTCAGTAACTCCTGTTTCTCCACCTGGGACTGCCAGAGGATCCTGACCCCAGCCCTGGTCAGTGCCTCTGACCCCTGTGTGGTCTCTTTGTCTCCCAACAGGTGGCATGTTCTGGGGCCTCTTCTACAACAGCTCCTCAGGAAACTCAACTGCCCTGACAGCAGGCCCAGTGCAAACCCTGGCCCCGGGCCTGGGGCTGCCCACAGCTCTGCCTGCCCTTCATTTGCTTCACACACACTTTGGCCGCCTGACCTGGCCACAGCTGTTGGCCAAGCCCACCAAGCTGGCTCAAGAGGGCTTTGAGGTAGATGCGCCCCTGGCAAGTGCACTAGCAGCCCAGGGCACCAAGGGACTTTGTCCACTCTTCTGCCATACCAACGGGGCTCCACTGAGTCTTGGGGCTCGAGCTACCAACCCCAAACTGGCAGCTGTGCTGCACCAGGCAGCCCTGGCCTCTAGCTCTGATCTTGTTGGGGATGCCTTGCTGAGTTTGCTGGTCAAAGACCTGGAGCTCGGGGAGCCTCCTGCTCAGCCCATGCCCTCCTTAGAGCCCGCACTGCAGCTTTCCATGCCGCAGGGTGTCCTCTTCACTACTCCCGGTCCCTCAGCTGGCCCAGAACTTCTGGAACTGCTGGAGTCGGCCCTTCACTCCAGGACACCCAGCCCTACTTCCTGTCTGTCTCTCCAGCAAACTGCCATGACCTCAGGGAGTAGCGCCGTGGCCACCGTGGACAGCAGTGGTTCTATGCTCCTCCTAACCTCCTCAATCAACAGCTCCTTTGGTTCTGGACACCTGTCCCCAAGCACCGGGGTTCTGCTCAGCAACCTGGTAGCCAGATCGGCACCTAGTGCCTGGGCCTGCCCACTCATTCTCCGTGGCACCCTGGATGACATGGAATCCGATATGTTGGGGCTAGTGGCTTCAGGGATGCCCAGAGGGACCAAGGCCATCACTTGCACCTTGCTCAATCATCTGGCAACACCTCAAACCCAGCATCAAGCTCAACAAAGACCCACAGAAAGCCCTGGAGTTTGTGGCCAAGGGAGCCTACTCCAAGTGGCAGTCCATGCAGAACATGCCCATGTCTCCAGTGTCCCCAGTGGCTGCTGCCCCTTCCAGGGGTATTAACAGAGGGACGGAGTATGGAAAGGGCAAAGCTATCTGGAACCTGAGGGCCAAAACAGAGGCCTAGCAGCAATGAGTGCAGACAGAGAACGTATCTGTGATGTGTTCGCTGCCATCAGCCCGCCGTTCATCATGTTCTGTCACCTGGCTCTAGCTCTGTCCTCCAGGGCTAGTTAGTCCCACCGTGTTTCCTGGTATCCACACTGATGGAATTGCTGGGTTTTCTATCATATCAGGACCTAGAGGATGATGAAAAAGAGACTGAGTGCAGCTCAGCTTCAGGAAAGTCAGTGGAAGGTTGAGAGCCTAGTCTTTGGGCAGTACGGGCAGCGCCGTCTTCCACTGGACCATGCCCTGCTGATCTTTATCAGTTGCAATGGAAGCTAATAAAGTCCAAATCTCCCAGGGTCCAAGTGCCATCCCTGCTTTTGGGTTAACTTTTTCATTATCCCATGAGATCTCTGATGCCAAGGCATCCGCCATGTGCAACACAGATGACAAGAACACCAGACACAGGTGGCGCCTGGACTGGTGTCTTTCAGCTTTCCCCTGCTCCACCCACCTTCTGCGTCCTGGGGTTCTATCTGTGCAAGGTAAATCTTAGTTTCACAGGTAGGACAGATGGCAGAGTAGAGAAGAGTTGGGCAAGTGAGTAGGGAACACTGCTGATAACAAAGGCCTGGAACTGGATTGCCTGTGAGCTTCCCTTTAGGGTTGCAATCTCCGGGCTACAACCCCCTAGAAATAGTTCCTCAGGCCAAGGGCAAGGACATCCAGTAGCACTTCCCCTACCTGACAAAGTAAAAGACAATTTTGGTTTAATGTTTTGAGGGTTTTAATTTTTTATTTTTTAAAAAAAAAAAGATGCTTTTACTTTATGTGAGTATTTTGACTACATATGTGTACGTGAACCACACACATCTTGCATTTGAGGAGGCCAGAAGAGGGCTCTGGATCCCTGGAACTGGGGTTACAGCTGTGAGTTGCTACATGGGTGCTCAGAACTGAACTTAGGTCCTTGGCAAGAGTAGGAAGTTAAGCAATCAGCATCTCCCCAGCCCTTATATTTTTATTTTTTTTGTTTGTTTTTCTTTTTTTGGATTTTCGAGACAGGGTTTCTCCGAAGCTTTTGGTTCCTGTCCTGGAACTAGCTCTTGTAGACCAGGCTGGCCTTGAACTCACAGAGATCCGCCTGCCTCTGACTCCTGAGTTCTGGGATCAAAGGTGTGCGCCACCACCGCCCGGCTTTTGTTTGTTTTTCGAGACAGGGTTTCTCTGTAGTTTTGGAGCTAGCTCTGGAACTAGCTCTTGTAGACCAGGTTAGCCTTGAACTCACAGAGGTCCGCCTGCTTCTGTCTCCTGAGTTCTGGGATTAAAGGCGTGCGCCACCACCGCCCGGCGTCCAGTGACTACTCTTAAACAGCATCTTAGGATCTACTGAATTTTAATTTCCAAGGCTTTTAACAGGTGTTTTGACATATTTTAGCATTTAAAGGGCTCTGCTCCCTACAGTCCTTATTTTCATGATAATTATCGTTTTAAATGGATTTTGCTACTTGTTCTTCAACTAGAAAGTCCTCGGAAGCCGTGGCTTTGTCCCCGAGCACACAGTAGGCGGGGAATAGCTGACGCACGGGTGTCGGAAAGGCTCGCGGGTAGATGGAAGTCTGGAAGGAGACCGTGTCGCTACTTTTCAGTGGACTTGTGCCGCGGGCCGTCCGAAACGCCTCCAGTATAAAGAAAGGGATCAAAGTAGCAGTCACCCCACACGCGCGAGTGAGCACCAGACGCGGCTCCACCCTCGACCAGACCGGAAAGGTACGACGTCCCGCCCCACCACTCCCAACCACTCCGGACCTCCAGGCTCCGCCCCCAGCCGGCCGTCCCAGTGCGCACGCGCCGGGGCCTGACCTGGAAGAGACCGTCTTCCGAGCCCACGTGTTTCGTGCAGCATGGCGGAGATGAGGAGTCCCACGAAAGCTGAGCCTGCGCCTCCCGCAGAAGCGGTGCAAGATGACCGCCGCGACCTACTGTAGCACAGCCGCGAGTTCTTGGACTTCTTCTGGGACATCGCGAAGCCGGAGCAGGAAACGCGGCTCCAGGCCACCGAGAAGTTGCTGGAGTACTTGCGCACAAGGCCGAGTGTATGATGGCGGGGCCTGCACACTCAGTCGCGGCTCTAGATGCAAGGGGGGGCAGGGGCGGGCTCCCAGGTCACTGTTGAACACGAAGGATACTTTTGGTTCCGCAGGGTTCGGAGATGAAGTACGCCCTGAAGCGCCTGGTCACTGGACTTGGGATGGGCCGAGAAGCCGCTCGGCCTTGCTATAGTCTGGCGCTGGCACAGGTGAGGTGGCGCGCTGGCAAGGGCGCAACTACGCTGGTCAAAAGATGGGTGTAAGGTTAGGGGGCACCGCAGCCGCTGGGTAAGGAGAAATCCGAGAGGATTCTGAAGTTTTCTATCTGATACATGTTTAGTAGGCGTATTAGCTAGTTATTGGAAGCAGTGAACTTTGAAGTTGACTTATGCAAGGCTGGGGACTCCTCTCTAGGTTAGGAACTTAACTAATGGCAGGCCGCTCAGAAGTGCGTACAACAAAGAGCAGCAGTGAACACTAACCTGTAGGGTCAACCTCAAGGCAGCTCGGCTTAGGATGTGTGGCTGAGATGGGTTTTTCAGGAGGGATAGATGAGCAGTCGAAGCCTTCAGAAGCCCTGGTGGAGATGGGGCTCAGTGTAGGATTTGGTCCCATGAAAGCAGTGGGTTATCCCGTAGCACTTGTGGTGAGAGATGGGAGGAGTGACCAGGATTACGTAGAGGGAAAGCTGAATTGAAGAAGGGGAGTTGGCTTGGTCTAGCGTGGCTCCCCTGGGTCACTCCTCTGAGCTCCTTTCGGTTTTGCTGGCAGCTGTTACAGTCTTTTGAAGACATTCCTTTATGCAGCATCCTGACTCAGATACAGGAAAAATACAATCTGCAAACAGCAAACAAGGTGAGTGGTCCCAGACATACCGGCCCCCGCCTGAACAGGCATGGGTGGGGTCATGGACCCTCTTCACCCGTGTTTGCCATCTTCCTCTAGGCGATGCTGAGACCTGCTCTCTTTGCAAACCTGTTTGGGGTGCTAGCTCTCTTTCAGTCAGGCCGCCTGGTGGAGGTAAGAGTGTTGGGTACAGGAGGCAAGGGTTCGGGTTGGTGGGGAACAGACAGGAGTGTGCCCTGTTCATACTATGTTTTCTGTGGGTACTAGGACCAGGAGGCCCTGATGAAGTCAGTGAGATTGCTGAATATCCTCTCCCATCACAACAACCACTTACAAGGCCAGCCAATGAAGGTCCTGGTGGACATCCTCTCCAAGGTATGGGATCACAGGTTGTGTTGTATGGTTCTGGGAACGTTGAGAAGATTTCAGTTAGCACACGAGACCATTAAGACAGATGGCTTAACCATGCAGCTGGTGGAAAGAGCTGTGAAGATAGTTTTAGATTCATTTATTTTTTTGTCAGCAAACATCTTAAAGTTTTGTTTATTCTGTGTACACTGTTCTGCCTTCATGTGGGCCTGCAGGCCAGAAGAGGGCACCCGATCTCATTACAGATGGTTGCGAGCCACCATGTGGTTGCTAGGAATTGAACTCGGGGCCTTCTGAAGACCAGGCGGTGCTCATAACTCAGCAGTTATGAACCATCTCTCTAGCCCCATGTCACCAAATATCTTAAAATTTGCCTGTCTTTCTGGTTCGCAGTGTGTCTCCATTCAGTTAGGCACTTCAGATGCTCCATAGCTCTCAGGTTTCTGAGATCTGGAACAGTGTTTGTCGGCACTTGAATATGTAGAAGGCAATCTGAATACATTTGCCATAGCTATGCTGTCTACTTGGGAGACCGAGGCAGGTTCACATTTAGAATCATTTGCCACTAGCTCATCCCTGTTTGGGCCTTTCTGCACAAACAGAGAACCAGAATTTAAGTTGCAGCCCCTCATATAGGGCTCCGTGTATAAAAATCAGGCTGGTCCTCTAAAACACAAAAGGAATAATTTTAAATGTAGCCCCCAGGCCAGTTAGCCATCTAGGATGCTGGGGATGGGTAGCCAGCACTTTCTTACAGGTCTGACAATTAACAAGTTGGCTAACTGGAGCTGTATCAAAAGCCCATGGGGTAGAGCGAGACCCGGAGGGAGAAACGGAGGTGCTAGGAGGGCCGCCCTCTCCACCTATGCTCTCACCACAGGTCCCAGAGTCCGTGTTCGAGGAGATCCTGCCAAAGGTCCTCAAGGATGACTTGAGAGTGATCCTCAGCTCCCCTAAGTACCTGGAGCTCTTCCTCTTGGCTAAGCAGAGGGTGCCAGCGAAGCTTGAGTCACTGGTGGGCTCAGTTGACCTGTTCTCAGAAGAGAATATCCCCAGGTTTGAGGAGAGAGTGGGTGGGCTCTCCTTGGGGGGGGTGTCCTGAACCCCAGACTTCTAGACAGTGTTGCTGAGCCCCATCTGCACTCTGTAGTCTAGTGAAGGTGCTGAAGATGGCAGCCAAGTCCGTAAGGAAGGAGCAAAAGCTGCCAGACGTGTCTCTGAGCCTCCTCCGCCTATCACTTAAGGAGAACAAATTCACACTGTTTTGGAAGGAGGTTGTGGAGCAGGAGCTGCTGAAGAAGCTAAGCTGGTCAACCAGGTGTGTGCAAGACACTAACTAACCTCTGCTCCAGTCTGGGTGGGATGTGTTCTGAAGCCCACCACAAAGAACAGGGTCTCTGACCAGGCTCTGCCCCGCCCCTTCTTAGCTACATGTGTTTCCGCCTGCTGGGTGCATCCCTGCCACTGCTGTCAGAAGAGCAGCTGCAGCTGGTGATGCGGGGAGACTTGATCCGCCATTTTGGGGAGCACGCGGTCATTTCTAAGGTAGGTGTCATCCCTTGAAGTTCAGCAATGCCCAAAAGGGCCAGACAGTGGGTTCTTCCTCTGAAGATGTGTGACAGGACTGGGGACTATAGAAGAGTTTGGCCAGTGGTCAGGCCCTTTTGTCCTGAGGCCCACTCTCTAGCGGGCCCAACCAGTCATCTGTCTGGCTCTTCTAGGGCCATTGATGAGAACAGTTATTCCCAGTGTATTCTGTATTTTTGTGCCTGCCATCCATAAGACAGTGATAGCAGGGGCCCAGTACAAAGGGTTGTCGTAAGAAAAGAAGTAACCTGGTGGTGATCACATGAAAATCGGTGGGTTTTGAATCACACTGACACAACTAGATACTGATCTATCAGGATTTGGGCCCTGCTTCCCCTCATGCCGCATTGAACTAGGGAAGCATCTTGTCCTCAGTCTTTGAGCCAGATTGGGGACCTTCTTGAGCTGGGATTGTAGGAATTTGAGGGGTCAAAGATTAGAGAGACCTTGGTGGAGCTGTGGCAACACTGGCCCTACTGTGAACTCGGGGCATTCTAGCCCAGGGTTTAACCTAGAAAGGGAGAGGGAGGAAGGTGGAAATGTTGGCCACTTCACATTGGTAACCCAACCTCATGCTCATCTCTTGTAGCCCCAAAACCTGTTCAAGTTTGTGCCAGAGATAAGTAAATATGTGAGTATCTTCCTAGAGGGGTGCCAGGATGACCCCAAACGACAGTTTGCTATGATGGTGGCCTTCACATCCATCACCAACCAAGGTCTCCCTGTCATGCCTACCTTCTGGCATGTCACACGGTTTTTAAGTAGTGAAGCCCTGCAAAGCTATGTGGCCTGGTTGCGGGACATGTTCCTCCAGCCAGACCTGGACTCCTTGGTTGACTTCAGCACTACCAACCAGAAGAGAGCACAGGATGCCTCAGTCAATGTGTGAGTAGCGGGTGTCAGGAACATTGAGAACCCAAACCCCTGAGTGGGGAGGGAGGAAAGTTAGTTCTTGAAGGTAGCCTGGGAGTTTCCTGATTGGTATTTGGAGGTCAGGGCAGAGTATGGGTGGTCCTGCCACAGTGGAGCAAAGGAGCACCCTATTTTTATTGTCGTGTTTGACTTATGTGACCTGCTCATGCTCCCAGGCCAGAGCGATGTGTGTTACGGCTCCGGAAGTGGATCATCCACCGCCTGGTCAGCCTTGTGGACCATCTGCACCTGGAGAAGGATGATGCTGTGGTTGATCAAGTAGCCAGGTGTGTAAGGAGCTAGCCCCCTGTGGGTGGCATGGCCATGGAACTAGGCTCTTTGCCTGGTCCATGTTTGGGGGCACCCTTGGAGCCAGAAGCTTTCAGGTTAAGTTGTTAGGGAATGGACCCAAAGGAATCACCAGGGTACTTGAGCCAGTCATGGAAAGAGACCCAGAAAGTGTAGAACTGTGGGACCCCAAAAGTTCAGGCTTGACCTATGAATTTTACAGGCAGTCTTTGCCCATCAGTATCTACAAGTCAGGAGCAGCTCTTATTCTGCTGCTCCAAATCGGGTCATCCACTTGTATTCAGAGGGTCACACCAGAGAAGTGACCCTTACATGGTGCAACTGAGGGGAGTCTAGCCATGCCAATCAATGCTGGTTGTGCTCCTAGGTTTTGCTTGTTCCACGCCTTCTTTAAGACAAAGAAGGCCACCCCCCAGATCCCAGAGACAAAGCAACACTTCTCCTTTCCCTTGGACAACCGGAACCGAAGTGTCATCATTAGTTCCTTCTTCAGGTAAGTCTGTGCCACTCAGCAGATGGAGACACTTGTTTCTTCTCTGAGCTGTGAGCAAGTTTAGAGAGCCTGGAGGGCCTGGAGACTGAGCCCCAGGGTTGGCAGGGAGGCTGGGTATGTTGTGAACCTTTCCTTCTCCATTCCCAGCCTGCTGCAGACCCTCAGTGTGAAGTTTAGGCAGTCTCCAGACTTGAATGAAAGCGGGAAGCCCTGGACTTACCGCCTGGTGCAGTTTGCAGACATGCTGTTGAACCACAGCCGCAATGTGACCCTGGTGACACCCTTCACAACACAGCAGCGCCAGGCCTGGGACCAGTATGGGCCTGGGGTTTCTGGGGGTGGAGGAGGGTACCCTGTCCATCAGTGGTGCCTGTAAACATGCCTTGTCCTCTCCCCAGGATGATGAGTACTTTGAAGGAACTTGAGGCCCAGTCTTCAGAAACCAGGTCCATTGCCTTCCAGCACTTGCTGCTTTTGGTGGGCCTCCACCTCTTCAAGGTATTGTGGTCTGCAGAGAAGGGGCATGGGGCCACCCCTACTGAGAGGCTTTGAAGGCAATGGAGATGGAGGGTGACGGTGGATTCCCTTACCATAACCCAGTCCTACATAAAAGTTACAGCTCAAGGGGAAAAGCCACTCTATCCACATGGGCCCTAGCCAGCATCCCAGCATTCCATGTAGGGCTTCTATGCATATGCCAGGTGCCAGAAGCAGAGTAGCCTGCTTTGAGCCACACCTCCAGTGGCTGAGATTTTAAGAGTCCCTAGATACTCATTGGAAGTGATAGATATAAAAGAAAGTGCTGCCCCCTGCAGGAGGGAGGCCACAGTCTGACACAGAACACTTGTCATTTAATAGTCATTTAGAAACAGGTTCCAGGCTTCTATGTATAACTCTGAGGGCTTCCCCTCACCCCAAAGTAAGGGACAATCATGCCTGAGGCTGGTAATGTCCCCAGCAAAGGCTCTGTGGCCTGCCACAGTTTCCCAGTGTATCATATTCTGCAGTCCTGGGCCCTCAAGAACCTCCTCTCCCCCGCCCCCATTTTTCTTATAAGAAGCTTTGATATTTTTTTTTAACATTTTAAAATTTGTTTTGTGTGGTGTTATGTGCCATAGTGCACATGTGGAGATCAGAGGACAACTTAGGGGTTTGGTTCTCCTGCCGTGAGGGTTGTCAGGTTTGGAAACAGGTGCTGTTGTCCTCTCAGGGTATCTCACCAGGCCCCTGATGCTCTTTTATCAAAACTGCTGCAGGTCTTGTTAGCGGCAAGCCTGTGGTTTCCAGACCCCTGCATCTCTGAATTTGACTGGCAGAAGAAATTGCAGTTTGGGTTTATCAAACCCAGGGAGAAAAGGCACAGCCCAGAGGGCAGGCACCTCCCAGTTCTCAAAGCCAGGGAGATAGAGACCACTGGCTTAGGCATGGACTCCTTCCTCTCTGCCCATAGCATTATCAAACAAAAGACTGCTTTCTGGGTATACAGGTTATTCCCAGCAAGATGCACTTAAATCTAATTAAAATCAGAACCACGCCTTTAATCCCAGTACAGGAGGCAGGGGCAGGCGGATCTCAGTGAGTTTGAGGACAGCCTGGTCTACAGAGCTAGTTCTAGGGCAGCTAGGGCTACACAAGAGAAACCCTGTCTCATAAAGCAAAAAGCCCAATGGTTTTCAAGTATATAACTAAAACCAGAAGTGCAAGGATAGCCCAGCAGTGTGAGATTAGCCTATTCTGGTCCTGTGGCTCTGGGTGTGTCTGTCAGTCTTGACTGTGAGTGTTGATGGGGAGTGTGGACTCTGGGTGTGTCTAACTGTACAAGGTGTGAAAAGGTTCTTGGGTGGCTCTTAGGTGCCCAGTCTGAATGGTAAGAGTGATTGGCCAAGAAAGGCTGGTGTCTGGCTTACCTGAGGACTCTGGTTCCAGTTCCTTTCTGACTTCTGCCTTATCCTGCCCACAGTCCCCTACAGAGAGTTGTGATGTCCTGGGTGACATCCAGACCTGCATCAAGAAAAGTATGGAACAGAATCCCCGTCGATCACGCTCTAGGGCCAAAGGTGCATCATTACTCCTGGGGCAGGCTGGGCAACCAGGCTATCTGTGTCCTGCTCAGCCTAAATCTGCTTTCCTGCTTGTAGCTTCCCAGGAACCAGTATGGGTGGATGTGATGGTGGAGATCTTGCTGTCCCTGCTTGCTCAACCCAGCAACTTGATGCGTCAGGTGGTCCGGAATGTATTTGGCCACATCTGTTCCCACCTTACGCCACGTGGTCTGCAGCTAATCCTGGCTGTGAGTTGGGGCCTTGGAGAAATAAGATTGTAAGATGGGTCCACTGAGATATACTGGGGATGTGTGACATCTTCCCATCTTCTGTTTTCCTCCCTGGGGTGGTGGGGGCCTTTGGTCAAGATAGAAGAGGCTACAGGAGTCACCTGAGGAAGGTAGGCAGTTGGGGCAGCAAATGCAATTGTATTCTGGGACTTCTCCTCAGGTGCTTATCCCTGAGACAAATGAGGATGAGGATGACAACGTGGTGGTCACTGATGATACCAGTGAGAAGCAGCTGGAACATGGAGAGGTACTTACCAGTGAGGTGCAAGGTAGGGTGACTGACTGGAGATAAATCACATGGTATCACTGAGAAGGTATGATTTACCTGCCTCACCTATAGGATGAAGGCTCAGATAGTGAGGACGATAAAAACTCAGATAGTGACATGGATAGCGATGATGGAGCAGAGAGTGAAGAGGAAGACCGTGATAAGGATGTGCAGCCAGGCTTTCGTCAGCGGCTGATGGAAGTGTTGCAAGCTGGGAATGCACTGGTGAGCAGGAGCCAGGGGAGTAAGGGTTTGTCTACCTACCTAAGGCCAGGCACCTGTGCTTAGGCTGTGTTTCTGTACCTCAGGGTGGAGTAGACAGTGAGGATGAAGAGGAGGAGCTTGGAGATGAGGCTATGATGGCCCTGGACCAGAACCTGTCCAGCCTATTTGCAGAGCAGAAGTTGCATATTCAGGCCCGGCAAGAGGAAAAGAACAAGGTGCAGAAGGAGAAGAAGCTCCGACGGGACTTCCAAATCCGGGTGAGTGTGCAAGTGACTGCCAGACACCCTGAGCTGTTCCTGCCTCCCCTGTGCTCCTGCATGGTCTCATTCCCAGTCCTCTGGCCACAGGTACTAGACCTGATTGAAGTGCTGGTGACCAAGCAGCCTGAGCACCCCCTGGTCCTGGAACTACTTGAGCCATTGCTGAGCATAATCCAACACAACATGCGCAGCAAAGGCTCCAGCAAGCAGGAGCAGGACCTCCTGCACAAGACCGCCCGCATCTTCATGTGAGTGCACATGCCCTGGCTAACACATGACCCTAATTGACTTTTCTTCCATTTCCTTCATGCTCCCTATGCCTAGAGCAGGGGTCCTGAAGCTCTGGTCCTATCCCAGCCATCAGTGTTAAAATACTCTGGAATTCTGACAGGAGGTTAGGACTGTCTCTATGCTAGTCCAGATCATGCTATGTGTTCAGACACTGTTTTGTCCTCCCCCCCACCCACCACTCTGTCCCTAAGCACACATTGGCCTTAGGCTTGATTTACAGTCTGAGGCCACTGTCCCACAAAATAGGTACAGTCAAGAGAGGTGTTCGGCCCCTGGGTCAAGTCCCTGCCTTGTCTCTAAAAGTCAGTGTTTTAATCTATGCAGTGGTACCTAGGGCTCTTCTTGCTGTGCATGGCAGCGCAAGGTCAAGGGCATCTTTTGACCAGTTTGCCCCACCCACAGGCACCATCTATGCCGTGCCCGCCACTACTGCCACGAGGTGGGGCCCTGTGCAGAGGCTCTGCATGCCCAGGTGGAGCGCCTTGTACAGCGTGCTGGCAGTCAGACTGACACCTCTGTGGCCCTTTACTGCTTTAACGCCTCTCTGTATCTACTGCGAGTCCTCAAGGGCAACACTGCTAAGAAGCACCAGGATGGTCAGATGCTACAGGGAGCCGACACCAAGCCTGAACCCAAGGACCCAGAGGTGAGCCAGGAGCCAGTCTGGGCAGTTTCCAGAAAACTTAAACCAACTCTTGGCCAGGACTCGTCAGTCTTTTATGCCTTGCTCCCTGTCTCACCCCAGCTTTCTCATCAGGCTCAGACTGCCAATTGCTTGGACTTGAACTTTGTGACCCGGGTATACTCGGCAGCACTGGAATCTCTTCTGACCAAGCGTAACAGCCCCCTCACTGTCCCCATGTTCCTCAGCCTTTTCTCCCGGTATCCGGTAAGTGCAGGTGGAGCCAGCCCTCCTCTTTGGACCCCTGCCTGTCCCAGAACCCAGCTAAGGGTCCCTGTCCTCCCTCAATCCCTAGGTGATCTGTAAGAACCTGCTCCCCATCCTGCTCCAGCATGTGGCTGGCCCATTGCGACCCCGCCATCAGGTAAGGGTCTGTCTGAATCACCTGTGCAACCTTCTCACTGAGGCCTAAGAGACCTGCTTCACTGACCTTGGCTATTCTTACGCTGCAACATATGGTGGGCACAGAGGAACTTCAGGAGCCTTGCTGTCTGGCCCAAGGCCTCCAGCATTGCTGATACCTATATGAGAAGTCACCCTGTCTGCTTAGATGCCAGGGTTGTCAGGCAGGCTTGAGGGAGACAGCATTAAGCCAGTAAGGCAAGAGACAGTCCCAGCATGAGGTTGGAGTCATTGCCTCTTCAGATCTCAGCAGCCCTTTACCCATATGAGAGAGGAGCTGATGACTGTAAGGCCCAGTACAGGCAGCCTCTGAGCCTTTACTGGGCATGTTGGGGCTCTTGCTGGCTACATTCTCCTTGATGCAGGCCCAGGCATGCACACTGCTCCAGAAGACCCTATCTGCCCGGGAGCTAAGAGTATGTTTTGAGGATCCTGAGTGGGAGCAGCTGATTGGCCAGGTCTTGGAAAAGGTCACCCAGGTAACACAGCTGTGAGGCTCCCACCCATGAATTCACCCCCAGGTTTCTGGAAACCAGATTGCTTGGAACTTGAGGTTCTAGAGTGGGTTGTACAAGCTAACTAGTCCCCAGAGACATTTCCTCCCTCTGGGCCACTGCTATGAGAGGCATGCAGAAAGGCCTTGGGCAGTTCTTAGGAGTGCCTCAGTGTTGACCTTCCTCCTTAGACACTGCACACACTCGGGGAGGCACAGAGCAAGGGGGAGCACCAGAGGGAGCTGTCCACCTTGGAGCTGCTGAACAGTCTCTTCAGGACAGTCAATCATGAGGTAAGGCAGCTGCCCAAAAGTCAGTGCCCCAGATGGAATGGACATCACACCAAGACTGTGGCAGTGGTCCTTCCTTCCAGGGAGAGAATCTGGCCTTTTCAAAGACTACAGTGTGACTGGTAGAAGTGATTGACTTCGAGGTAGAGGGCCGCATCTAGAGCTGGCAGACTAGGGGTGAGACGCTGTCACATTGCGTCAGAAAACTGAAAAGTGATACATAGTGATAGTGAGAAGAGCTAGAGTTGGTCCCAGGCGGGCAGCAGTTTGGAAGGAGGCCAGGTTTCCAGGCAGGGAGGGGTAAGAGTTACTCATGGGCTTATCAGGGTAGAGGCCAGGATGCCACTGGAAATGGACATCTGGGTACCCTAGTCTGGAACCATCCTTACAGGGGACTGAGGCTGAAAAAGCAGACCTGAGCCCCTGTTTTTGGAAAGGGAAACAATGCTAGGGGCCTTGTTTTTCCACAGTAGAGACTAGTAATTTAGAGACAGGAGTGGCTAAGGTTCCAGGAGCAGGTGGAAGACCCAAAAGCTGACAAAAAGCCATGTCACCACTACTACTCCAGCCTGCTTTTCCTCTGCAGAAGCTGTCTGTGGACCTCACCTCTCTCTTGGGCATGCTGCAGAGCAAGCAGCAGAAGCTGCAGCAAAACTTGAAGCAGGGGAATCACTCCTCTGGTTCCAACCGCCTCTACGACCTCTACTGGCAGGCCATGAGGATGCTAGGAGTCCAGTATGTTCTGGGAGAGGAACCCACACCCTGGGAATGGGACTGAAGATGCCCTCAGTGCCGTCAGTATTGTACTCTCTCACTTTGTGTTTTACTACTTCTTTACAGGCGTCCCAAGTCAGAAAAGAAGAATGCCAGGGATATTCCTAGCGACTCCCAGAGCCCTATTAGCATGAAACGGAAGAAAAAGGGATTCTTGCCTGAGACCAAGAAACGAAAGAAACTTAAATCTAAGGATGCCACACCAGAAAAGGATGCTGCTGCATCAGGGCAGGATGTAGTGATGGCAGATGCCACACCCGCTGCTGGTGGTACAGACCAGCCCCCCAGCACAGGCAAGAAGAAAAGGAAGAGAGGGAAGGCCAACACCCCATCCCAGGTGAATGGGACACCTGTCACCAAGAGTCCAGCTCCCAACAACCCCACCCTAAGCCCCAGCACCCCTGCTAAGACCCCAAAACTACAGAAGAAAAAAGAGAAGCTGTCACAGGTGAATGGAACCACTCCTGTGTCCCCCATAGAGCCTGAAGGCAAAAAACATTACCAGAAGGCTCTTCCCACAAAGGATGTCTTGAGAAAGACCCCCCAGTCTTCCCTGCCACGAAAAAGGGCAAGGCTGTCTCTGGTTAACAGGAGCCCCAGCCTGTTCCAGAGTGGGGTCAAGAAAAGGAAAGTGGCCCGGAAGAAGGTGCAGACACCTTGAGTGTGGTGTGGTCTGTTTTCCCCTGTCTTGAGCAACCCAAGAGACTTCTATTTTTCACCAGTATTTTAATAAATATTGCCATGGTATATGACACCAGTCTCTGGCTTTGGGCAGTGGGTGGATTACCAACCTTCCAGGGGCAAGGTCCAACTACTGCAGGCCTGGCTTCAGGCTTACTCAGTTCTGTCCCTCCCCAGGCTGTTTCAATGGAGAGCCACCAAAACATTTAAATAGGTTTATTTCTTCATTTACAAGAGGAATATATATATATTTGGCTTCTCTCTTAAGACTCTGAGATTCACAATCAGCAGCTCTAAAAAATAAAGGAGCGGTTCAGCTTCCGGAAGGAAGAGGAGGCAACACTTGGACCTGGTTCTTGTACAACAAGAAAACATTGCTGGGGCCCCTGCTGGGGTTAGGGTGGGAGCCAGGCTGGTCATAAGGGATAGCACCCTCTGCCCACCCACATCCAAACCCCCAGGGTGCCCCAGAGCTTGGGTGGGGTGGGTACCACTAACACCATTGAAGCCACAGCCAGCAAGTGGGGGATGGCCACAAGAACTGTTGTCCAAGCTGGTTCTGGACATTTCCTGTAGGTTACAATGGTACCCCAGGACCAGAGCCATCTTGGCATGCAAGGAGTGAAGCTGGGGATAAGTGTCCAAAGGTGACTAAGGTGACTGCAGGGGAGTTAAGGGTTGTCTGTGTTGGTGATGAAAGGCTGAGGTGAAGGCCTGCCCCCCCCCCCCAGGCAGTTGGGGTGTGATTCCTACAGGCACTGGTGGGAAATCTCCAGCAGTTCATACCCTAGGCCAAGAAGCAATGTGGACAGCTGCTAGGTACAGCTTTCTGCAGCCAAATCTGATCATCCTGTAAGGGGGGGGGGGTGGCTTCTGGGGTACAGCAGGAGTTGTGGGGGGAGGGAGTAGGCCTTCACCCCTAGTGCTGCAGCTTCCTCTAATAAGGGGTGGTCCCACCTGGGAAAAACTGGGCAAAGAACCAGCTGAGGACCGCAGAGGCAGTTATCTATTCTTCAGGGTGACTGTCCCAGCCAGGGAGCACCCAGCTCCATGTATCAGGCTGAATTTGATGGCCCCCAGGTCAGAGCCTAAGGATGGGGAAATAGTCCTCATACACCAGAGCCTTTGTGGGGGACCTCAGAACCTGAACTGAGGGCCTGAGACTTGGGCCATGTCTTCTTTGTACAGTCTAGGACTTGTTTCTTCAAAGCCATGGAGGGTGCCTTGCAAGGCACACAATGAAGGAAGCTCCAGCTCCTTGGCCCCACTGTCTAGGGAGGATAGGGGCTCCCTCAAGATCATATGAGCTAAGGGCGGGCCAGGCTTTCCCCAAATACCCAGTGCAGGCTGGTTTCTCTCTTGGACCTTCAGCCCCCAACCAGGTCTTGAATTGTGTTCAACTGAGTGGTTCCAGAACACACATCCCTCCATGTTAACTGAGGATGCAGCTGCTTCTTCGAGATAGGGCCACTCAGTCCTGGGCCAAAGAGGGTGAGTACCCAGCTGTGAGTCACACGGGTAGCTTTGGGACAGTCCTGCAGGTCCAGGACGCTGGAGGACCTCTCCCAATCTAAACTGCAGATCATTGCTGTCCCAGCTGCACCTGTGGGAAGGGGTTGGGTCAGGTGGAGCTTTGGGAATTGTTCCAAAGCTGGCTTCCTTAGCTTTCACCACCGTTGTGGTACTGGAGGCTATGACCCCTGTTTTACATTGACAGGAAGCTTTAGCTTCCAAGGGCTAGGCCACTGGGAAGGTCAGGGTGGGAGCTGTACCCTGATACATCTAGGAGGATTTAGGAGGACAGCAGGAGTTTCTGGCAAGTTCCAGGCCTGACCTATGCTCTCAGCCCTCCTAGGGAAGGGAGGGCACTGATTTACTGGAAGAAGCCAGCTCCCACACATCTACAGATTCCATGTCAACATCTCAGAAGGAAGAGGGCAGACCCAGGGCAGTGGGGAATCTGCTCAGGAAGGAGAGGGTTCAGAAGGTGTTTTGTTCCCTGTTCCTTTGTGGCCAGTCCTCCCACAGGCCTTCCTGGCCTGCACTCACCACCTCAGACTTTCACGGATGCAGGCGGCATCACCAGCTGGTTCACCCTGAGGGAGAGACGGGCGGGGGTCAGGGTGGCGCATCAGCGGGGACTGGGCCCAGGCACGGCTCTGGCACATCGCATCACTGGGGCCGGTAGACCGGAGGCGCTGGGCAGGGACCTCGTCAGCCCCAGGGGGAGGTGGGAAAGCCCAGGGGTAGGGAGAGGAGAAAGAAAGGAATAGAGAAAAGAGGAGAAAGAAGTCAGAAAATAAGAGGAGAAGGAAATGGGGTTCCCAGCTCTAAAACCCTATTCACTCCGGGGAGGGGGGTCATTCCTAGAACTACCGAAGAAAGGCCTGGCATCTGCCAACCTGGGCTACAGTGGGTAGGGCTCACAAGATGCTGCTGGGGGCGTGAGAAGACTCAGCCAAATATAGAGCTGGTCCTGGCCTCCAGCAGGTCACCCAGCCATAAGGGTACAAAGTAGCCCACTGTCTCCTCCACCCTTGTCTCAAAGAGCTGTCACAGTCCCTGCTTCCCAGCACGCCCACCCTCACCCTACTCACTGCTGTTCAGCCTTGGCACGGTCGCTGAGGAAGAAGAGAGCAGTGGCAAGGAAGAACATGCCACCTAGGACCACAACAAAAGGGCACAGCATGAGGGCATAGCCCAGGCTCAGAAACTCCCAGAGCGGGGAGTCCTTGGTGCTCTGGCGGATAAGGTCCGAGATCTGTGGGGAGTGGGGTACAGGTATCAGGACTGGCCTATCTTCTGTGCCCCACCCAAGGCAGACCCCACCCTCAGCTACTCACAAAGCCAATGAGGTAGGGGCTTCCAGCATCCCCCAGCAGATGGGAGGTGAAGCTCTGCAAGGCCACAGCAGTGGCTCGTCGGGTAGGGATGACCACGTACTGCAGGAGAAAAGACAGGTCAATGCCAGAAGGGCCAAGGTGTGACCTAGGCTCATCCCTATGGATATGATATTTCTGAAACCCCCACAGCCTCAGCTTTCTGTCCTGGTAGAACCTCCCACCCATGTAGGCATGGCCTCTTCTCTTCTGCATCTGCCCCTCCTATCTGGAGCCTTGAAGCTCCCACACACAGCTTCAGACTCCATCACCCCAGTGGCTCTGACAGGTCCCAGACCTCAGCCTTGGTGATGGGAATCTGTACTTCCGTCTCCACTACATTCAGACATGGAACACAACTTCAGTATCAGTTGGCACAGGTCTTCCAAGGCCAGAGTTCTTGGAGCATGGAGGACCTGAGCTAACAGACCCAGAGGCACTTCTTTTCTTTCCTCCTTTTTTAAAGATACGGCCTTACTGTTTCACCCAGGATGACCTCAGCTTGCTATGCTCCTGGAGAGAACCCTCATTTCTGAGGGATCACATGTGGAATTGTGCAACTTCTAGACATAGGATTCTGACTTCTAGGCTTCCTGCCCTCCCCTTCTATAAGCTAAACACCTGGCTGGGTTCCCCTCCATGAAGACTTATTTAGCAAGGCTGAGGCTGGCTCAAGTGGTGAGGATATGAACTAGAATCCTACCCCAAAGAGCCTCTACTTGAACTCAAGGATCCTGACACCAAAGTCTAAGAGCTACTGGGTCCCAGGTCATCCTGAACCAGACAGACGAGGCTCTGACCTCACTTGAAGACACGTGGGCAAGACTAGAACAACCAGAACCAGATGGCCCTACCCTGAGCTCCAGCTACTCACACTGTCCACGACTCCTGTCATTCTGGACAGAGGAGCAGCATCCTCACTGCTGGCGAGGAGACAGGGAAGGATCTGGATCCAAGGATATTGCATGGCCCCATTTCCAGCACTAATTAGTCACTTAGCTGGGACACTTAATAAAACTGGGACATGATTTCCCTGGGACCCAGACAGCTCTCAGGGGCTGCTGGGGGTGGGGGTTGCCAGGGGAGGGCATGCTGCCTAGCACCGGAGACTCTTGATTCAGTCTTGCCACAGTTACGTAGTGACCGACTCCTGCCCCTGTTCTTGCCCAGCCCCTTGTTGAGGCCCTTAGCTGAGGCCTCCCCACACTTCTGTATAATGCATGAATGGGCAGAGAACAGACACTGCTGGGGGACACAGGTATTTGAGGAAACATAGGGTGGAGCAAGGCAGGCTTCCTGAATGGGAGGGACTTCAGAGGGCACCAGACTCTGGCCTGCCAGTCTAAGCACCAGTCCCTAAGCTCCTATCCCCCCATTCCCAGTCCTCTGCAGTCTCCTGAGCCTGATCAGGAGGTCCCCTGAGGACCAAGGGCAGGATTCATAGTCCTGCCATCTTCACTTCACTCAGAGCTATAAGTCACTAGGCCCACAGCCCCTCCCCTGTTCTGTCCCCACCCAGGAACACAAGCCCAAGCAGACTGCTCAGACAGCCCTTTGTCCCTGGCCTGCTGGTCTGGAGGCCATTGTTGGTCCCGTAAAGACAGCCTCTGTTTGTCCAGCCAGCCGCAGGCACTCGGCCGGCACGCCTGGGATCCAGCCTGGGACCCAGCCTGAGCTGGCAAAGCAGAATGTGAGGACGCTCAACTCCAGAGGGAGGAGTGCTGGCAGGCAGCACCACCTCAGTGCCAGCCTGGCACCACCAGCCTCCTAGCCACAAACCTGAAACTGGAGACAACCCTGCCCCTGCACCCCAACATCTATCTGCCTGCTCTCCTAGCCACAAACTGGCAACTGGAGACAATCCTGCCCCTGTACCCCAGCATCTACCTGCTCAACCCCATTTCCAGGCTCTTCCCAGATCTGACCCCCATGTATCTCTGAGCCACTCCCTGCCTCTGGGTTCACCTCTCCCACTGACAAGTGATGTTAACACTTCACTCACCCGCCCAAACTACCCCAATGAAATGCAGAAGCCCGGGTCAGTCAGCAGAAGGTGACTGTGGACTTCCTGGCTTACCATGAGGATGTCTGCGGTGATGGCCCAGTTAGAAAACAGCAGTGTCTCCCCAACAAAGATGCAGATCTATTCATAGAGAGGAAAGCAACCATGAGGGGCACGAGGCAGGGACACA